AAAAATTCGTAAGAAGAAGCATTCGTAAGTAGAGGTACCACTGTACATAGTAAAGATCCGGTTAAAATGTGATGTTTTTAAAGAAAATTTTAAAAGGATGAAGAAAAATTTAATTAAAAAAATTAAAATTTTGGAATTGGAAATTTTAATTTAAAAAAAAATTCTGGGGCCTCTCCTTTCTACTCCCTTGGAACTTCACCCCACTCCCACCATCTCTTAAAGCTTTTTAAAAGGAAGCCGATGAATGCCACAACCTGTTTCTGCCAAAAAGGTAGGTGTTTGAGAAGCAGTGGTGTCACACACACCTTTAGATCCGCTCCAAAGGATCTCAGGCAAACGTTGAATCATTTTATTTATTTAATTAATTTCTATCCTGCCTTTCTTCCATTATGGAAGCCAAGGTAACTTAAAGTATATGATTAAAGCAAAATACAATTAAAAATATATGGTACAACCCTTCATTAAATAGACAATTGTATTAAAGTGTTTAAAACAGTTTAAAATAAGTGGAACACATAAGATAAAAGGCACCTGCAAAAACACCTACTGATGAGTAATATCTCATAAATCTGCAGTTGAATAAAAAGATTGAAGATCTTTTATTTTCCTTTCCTTTCCAAGGAGATGATTTCACTTGCAAATTAGATGCATCAGATCAGCAAAGTGAAGCCCACTGCACCTGATCTATGTATGAATAAGCACTTTGGCTTATAGGTTTTTGGGAAAGAAAGAGCTTGTTTTCATTTTCAAAAGGCAGCCTGGTGCAGTTCTATAGCTAAAGAAAGGCTCCAGCCGGTGGAAAAGGAGTCACATTTGTAGTTCCAAGGGGCAAACAAGGAGCCTTCCCAGTCACATTATTTGCTCTTTAATATCTGCTCTTGAATATCTTTAGGGGAAGGGAATGGCAACCTTTCTCTGAAGAAATCTTGCAAAGAAACCCCCAAGACAGGTTCGCCTTAGGGTCGCCATAAGTCAGAAACAACTTGAATGCACAAATCCGCTCTTTGCAGCTCAACTCACATATGAGCTCATGTTGTGAACTCACCTGTTCATCAGGTTAAGGATGTTTCTTCATAAGCCCATCAGTTCCACTGGCTGCCTCAAAACCTGGCTCAAGCTAGAGCAAGGGATGTGTGACTTTCCCAATGTTACTGGGCTGCACCTGTGGAACCACACATTTCCCATCCGTGAGTTTACGAAAATGCATTTCTCACACTCATTGGTCCACTCACTTCTGCCTAAAGCAAGCAGAAACGTTCACATTTCTGAGAAAAAGGATAGGTCCCAGTGCAGTTCTGGTATAATAATAATAATAATAATAATAATAATAATAATAATAATAATAATAATAATAAATAGTAATAGTAATAAATTATTTATTTATAGCCCACCCAATCACAAAGAATCCGGGTGGGTTACAACAATAAAAATACAAAGAGTACAACAGAATTTAAAAAATTAATCCCTTCCCAACCCCACCCACCCACTGCTAAAATTACAATTAAATAAACATTATTTAAAAACCAAAAACACAAAAGTTTAAAAAGGAAGATAATTGGCAGACAGAGTGACGTAGATCACTTTGTGCAGGGAGAGGAACAGCTATGTACATTTGCACTTGGAATAGACTTCAGTGACTATGCTGCCTTTCTGCAAGACATCCAGGGAAGTTTGAAATGCTGTAACTTTACCATAGGAGAAACTGTTTTTGTGGTTCTGCCCATAATGTGGTCTGTAAAATTTAAAGGCCAGCAACTATGCTGGGTGTGACAACCTGTCATGCAGTTCCTTGAGATGAAAGGGGCACTCTATGGCATTGAGGTGCTGTGTCCAAACTGCAGACCCACAAGAGTGAACTCATCATCCTCATCGATATGATTGCAGGCCTTCAACAATGGCAGGTTGTCAGGTGCAAAGTTTAAAGGACCATAACTTAAGGGTGCTTTTGCTGGAGGCCATCTGTGTGGGTCTTTAGCCAGAACTCAGAACTAGAACAGTGATGGCAACACAACAAATATGTTTGTTTATGAGAGACCCGCAAATGGGACAAGTTGCTTGGCAATGGATGGGTGACTGGAAACATAACTTATGTCAGATTTCTGAAAGAAGGAGGACTAGCAGAGAAAAAATGATGATAGGAAATGATTCTCCCTCTGATCTCCACTTGTCTTCTAAATGATGTCCACAGCTTGGAAAAGTGACCTTTTGGACTACATCTCCCACAGTCTCCTAGTAAGCATGGTAATGGAGACCCCTCCCAACACAGGAGTGGACTAAGCAGGTTTTAAGTAAATAAATATTGCACATATATATAGCATGTGAGTGTGTGTGTGTGTCAACAATGTGCATATGTATGGATAAATATACATATATATTGTTTGCTGTTGTTTGTTGTTGTGTATACCTTCAAGTCATTTCTGATCTTATGGCAACCTTCAGGTGAAGCTATCATGGGGCTTTCTTGGCAAGATTTGTTCAGAGGAGGTTTGCCATTGCCTTCCCCTGTGGCTGAGAGCATGTGACTTGCCCAAGGTCACCCAGTGGCTTTCATGGTCCAGCAGGGAATTGAACCCTGGTCTCCAGAGTCACAATCCAGGGCTCAAACCACTAGGCCATGCTGGTTCTTGTGTGTGTATATACATTAATATATACTTTATTTATTTATTTGTTATATTTATTTATTATCCTGCCCTTCTCCCAGAAATGGGACTCAATGTGCACAATAAACATGTACACACA